GAGGGGCGGAGCTTAATTGCAAAATGCTTATTTCTCCACAAGAAACTACTATGTGAAACATGTTTTTAACTATCATGTTGAAAAAAAAGTAAATATTTTAAGAAAAAAGAAGTTAAAAATAAACCCCACCCGCCCACCCCAACCTCAGTGGTGATGAATTCTTCATTCGTTCTGCGACCAAGGGGCAAATTTAGAACCGGAATCAATATAAAAATGTCAATGATTTAATTTCCAACGTAAAAAAAATATTTCTTAAAGCTTATTTGACTATCCAAGCCTTCAGGAAACCTTACCGGATTGTCCAATGACTCCAGAACCTGTTCTGACAATATTGGGTTCATGGAATATATTATAACAATCATTTTGACGATATGAAAAAGGTTTGTTTATTGTTAACCATAATTTTGTTGTGTAATAGTAAATTACTCGTAAATGAAACATTTTAGGTTATTATGGAATTTGACACCACGTGCTATATGTTTAAATGTAAAAACGAATGAAAAATTAATCAAGATTTAGATCGAGGCGGATGGGTGGGGCTTCTCTTTGGCCTTTTTTTTTTTAATTAAAACATTTAGTCACTTCTTAAACTACACATTTACTTAAGAACATGTTTCACCTGGTAATTTCTCGCAGAAAAATAAAGATTTTGCAATTAAGCTCCGCCTCCTTGCTCACGACCAACAAAGAAATATAGTCACAACTGAAACAGGGTCGGTGGGCGGGGCTTATGATTTGACTTTGTTTTTTCTTCTTAATATACACACATACTCGTCAGAATAAACGACTGAAAACATGTTTTAAATGATAAAATTTATCTCCAACACTTCTCTACAAATTTACCATTTTAAACAAGCCTTCAGTTTCTTGTCGTGAATAGAAAATTATGTACATATAAGAAAAAAGAAAGCAAAATACAAACCCCCCCCACCCGCCCTCATCTCTTTTGGGATGAATTTTCTTATTCGTCGTGAATCGAGGGGCGGAGCTTAATTGCAAAATGCTTACATGCTACAAGAAACTACCATGTGAAACATGTTTTTAAGTATAGTGTTGAAATAAAAGCATATGTTAAGAAAAAAAAAAGTTACAAATAAGCCCCACCTGCCCGCCCCAACTCAATTGTGATGAATCGTTCATTAGTTGTCCGACCAAGGAGCAAATTTAGAAGCTGATGTTATCCGGAATCAATATGAAGATGTCAATGGTTTAATTTCCAATGTAAAGAAAGTATTTCTTAAAGCCCATTTAAGGATCCAAGTCTTTCAAAAAACCTTACCGAATTGTCCATTGTCCCCAGAACCACAACTGAGACAGGGTGGGTGGGCGGGGCTAATAATTTGACTTTTTTCTTGCTAATATGCATACATACCTACACTTCAGAATAAAACACTGAAAACATGTTTAAGATGGTAAATTTTATCTCCAACACTTCTCTACAAATTTACCATTTTAAACAAGCTTTCAGTTTCTTGTCGTGAATAGAAAATTATGTACATATGAGAACAAAAAGCAAAATACAAACCCCGCCCACCCGCCCTCATTTCTTTTAGGATGAATTTTCTTATTCGTCGTGAACCGAGGGGCGGAGTTTAATTGCAAAATGCTTATTTCTCCACAAGAAACTACCATGTGAAACATGTTTTTAAGTATCGTGTTGAAATAAAAGCATATGTTAAGAAAAAAAAATGTTAAAAATAACCCCCACCCGCCCGCTCCAACATCAATTGCGATGAATCGTTCATTAGTTGTCCGACCAAGGAGCAAATTTAGAAGCTGAAGTTATCCGGAATCAGTATGAAGATGTCAATGATTTAATGTCCAACGTAAAAAAACTATTTCTTAAAACTCATTTTAGGATACAAGTCTTTCAGGAAACTTTACCGGATTAACCATTGCCTCCAGAACCTGTTCTGACATGATGGGGTACATGGATTGAAGCGGCAATATATTATTGCGATCATTTTGACGATATAATAAAAATTCGTTTATTATTCATAATTTTGTTGTGTAACTCTAAATTAAATGAAATATTTTAGGTAATTATGGAATTTGACTCCACATGCTACATGCTTAAATGTTACAACCAATGAAAAATTCATGACGATTCAGATGGCGACGGAAGGGTGTGGCCTATCTTTGGCTTTCTTTTTTACTTAAAATATTTAGTTTTCTTTAAACAACCCGTTTATTTAAGAACATGTTTCACATGGTAATTTTTCGTAAAAAAAATAAGGATTTTGTAAATAAGCTCCGCCTTCTTGCTCACGACCTACAAAGAAATATAGTCACAACTAAGACAGGGTGGGTGGGTGGGGCTTATGATTTTACTTTTTTTTTTTCTTAATATGCACACATACTCTTCAGAATAAAAGACTGAAAACATGTTTAAAATGGTAGATTTTATCTCCCACATTTCTCTACAAATTTGCCATTTTAAACAAGTTTTCAGTTTCTTGTCATGAATAGAAAACTACGTACATATAAACAAAACAAGCAAAATACAAACCCCGCCCACCCGCCCTCATCTCAGTTGTGACGAATTCCCTTATTCCTCGTAAGTCGAGGGGCGGAGCTTAATTGCAAAATGTTCATTTCTCTACAAGAAACTAACAAGTGAAACATGTTTTAAGTATCATGTTGAAAGAAAAATATATGCGTTAAGAAAAAAAAGTTAAAAATAAGCCCCACCGACCCACCCCAACCTCCGTTGTGATGAATTGTTCATTTGTTGTCCGACCAAGGAGCAAATTTATAAGCTGAAGTTATCCGGAATCAGTATGAAGATGTCAATGACTCAATTTCCAACGTAAAGAAACTATTTCTTAAAACTCATCTAAGGATCCAAGTCTTTCAGGAAACTTTACCGGATTAACCATTGCCTCCAGAACCTGTTCTGACAAGATGGGGTACATAGATTGAAGCGGCAATATATAATTGCGATCTTTTTGACGATATAATAAAAATTCGTTTATTATTCATAATTTTGTTGTGTAAATCTAAATTAAATGAAATATTTTAGGTTATTATGGAATTTGACTCCACATGCTACATGCTTAAATGTAATAACCAATGAAAAATTCATCACGATTTAGATCGCGACGGAAGTGTGGGGCCTATCATTGGGTTTCTTTTTTGCTTAAAATATTTAGTTTTCTTTAAACAACACATTTACTTAAGAACACGTTTCACATGGTAATTTCTCGTAAAAAATAAGGATTTTGTAAATAAGCTCCGCCTTCTTACTTACGACGAACAAGGAAAAATCGTCACAACTGAGACAGGGCGGGTGGGCGGGGCTTATGATTTTACTTTTTTTTTTTTCCTTTTAATATACATAATCTTCACAACAAAAGACTGAAGATATGTTTATAATAGTAAATTTTATCTCCAACACTTCTCTACAAATTCACCCTTTTAAAAAAGTTTTCAGTTTCTTGTGGTGAATAGGAATCTACGTACATATAAGAAAAAAAGGGCAAAATACAAACCCCACCCACCCACCCTCCTCTCAGTTGGAATGAATTTTCTTATTCGTCGTGAGCTAAGGGGCGCAGCTTAATTGCAAAATGCTTATTTCTCTAGAAGAAACTACCATATGAAACTTATTTTTCACTTTCTTAATATAGCAATTATATTTTACCTTTTTTTCTAATATACTTACTTAGCTTATTTTTACAACAAGAATCTTAAAATATGTTCAAAATGGTACATTTTTGTGGGGAAATAGAGATTTTGCAATTACGCTCCGCCTCTTGGCCATGGCAATTTTATGTAGAGAAACGAGAATTTTGAAATTAAGATCCGCCCTCTGGCCCACGACAAAGAAAAAAAATCATGACAATTGAAATAGGGTGGGCGGGCGGGGCTTATATTTTGTCCTTGTTTCTCAATATGCGTAGTCTTCTTTTAACAACAAGAAACTTAATGCATGTTCAAAATGATAATTTTCTGTGGGAAAATATAAATTTTGCAATTGGCGCTCCGCCCCTCGGTCTAACAGCAAATGAAAAATTCGTCATAACTGAGATTGGGTTTGCTTTCAACAATACGATAGTTAGATATTTTTTCCGAAGAAGACTTCGCATATTAAGAAAAGATAGACAAAATATAAATAAATATAAGCAGTGTCGAAATGCATCGCCAATGCTCAATACTGTTTCCAACAAAAGCATCTTAAACATAATTTGGCTCATATAAAAACCCATTTTACCATCTCAACAACAAGTATAACTAAATTAGAAACCATTTGGCTGACCTTAATTCAGTCTGTGGATATGGTAGAGCTATTGTATAAACGATTGGAAATGACATTTAAAAAGTGGCAAGATATATTATGAAAAATACGGGGTAGCAAGAGTTTACACGTGTCAGCAAAGTATTACAAGGCGAAAATGTAGAAAAAGATTTAAAAATAAACCCCAGTGAAAGTTCTAATTTTATATATTCTCCTTTTACCTTAACCTTTTTTTAGTCTAAAATCCGCTCTTTAGTAATAACGAATACTAAGTGTTCCTACTCTCGGAGTACCGCAAGGACGTGTTCTTGGCTCATTGGTTTTCCTGTAGTGTATTAATGATATATACTAAATTTGGAGATTTACACCACCTAAAATTGGTGATCGTCACGTTTGCACCAAATAAAATTAAAATACCGAATTTTTAAACATAAATCGATGTTGCAAAGGATTCAGAGGCCAGAAAAAGAAACAACAATTTTGGCTCAATACCAGAACCAAATAACTGAGCCCGGGCCTAGAGAATTGTCAACAAACATAATATACTAATTTATCGTTAGTCTTAGGTTATTGTTCTTTATTGAGCACCCCTGGTACATACGTAAATAATAATTTACTCAACTTATAAGAAACTTTGGACTTTTAGAAGAACTGTCACTGACTTGGAGGCAGAAAAAAATCCGTTTTTTTCTCTGTATGAAAGTGTACGTGATGTAAGTGCGTTCGAGCCTACGCCCAACCCCGCCCCCTCCCGAGCCCTTACCTGACACTTCGGATACTGTTCGTCCGGCGTGCGTTCCACCTTCCAGCCTAACAGCGGAGGGATGCAAATAAGGGCGGACAGTATCCAGACGGCGGCGATCATCAGCACGGCGCGCACAGGTGTGCGCTTCTTCAGATACTCCACCGCCTGAGTGATGCTCCAGTAGCGGTCCAGCGAAATCAGACACAAGTTCATGATCGAGGCCGTGCTCAGGAGCACGTCCATGGCCGAATGCACGTCGCACCACCAGATCCCGAAGATCCAGTAGCCCATCAGCTCGTTGGCCAGCGAGAAAGGCATGATCACCAGCCCCAGGAAGAAATCGGCCACGGCCAGCGAGGCGATGAACCAGTTCTGGATGTTCTTGAGCGCCTTCTCCGTGGTGATGGCGATGATGACCAGCATGTTGCCCACGACGACGACCACCATCAGCATGGTGACGACGACGGAGGCGACGACGATCTGCGGCAGCGTGTAGCCGCTGGGGTAGTGCGGCACGGCGACGGTGGCGTTGCCGGAGAGGTTGGCGGTGGCGTTGTCCGCCAGCAGCAGGAGGTCCTCGACGGCCACGGCCGCCCGCGCTGTGAGGTTGCTGAGCGCCATTGGTCCCTAACACTATGTACAATACCCGTGTACCCGAAGCGCCCGAGTTACGTCGGCGATAATGGGAAACGCAATACAATTCAATTTGAGAAAGATAACACTAGCTAGTTTAGAATATGGGGGTCCGAGGCGCCGGCGTCGGCGCCCTCTTCTTCGTCGTCGTCTTCCGAGGCGGAGCTTTCGACTCGGAGCTCGGTTGGCATGTTACCGCCTCGCTCCACGACCGCACACTGAGTGACGGCGAGCCGCTCCCGGATTCGGGCATGCGTGCCCAAGATGCGAGCGTCGGGACGACGGCGACGGCGACGATGCGATGCGCTTTCGACGGGACCTAATTACGGGGCGTTGGGTTTTTCTTCACCAGCTAGAGATCGCGCAACACACTCACGGAAACTAGGCGAAGTCTCTCACACGATCGACTACGACGATAAGACGACGACGTCACACACGAAACTCGCTTACGCAAAGAACTAACTTTGGACGTAACAGGCGGAAGGTTTATTATTAACTGCCCACTACAACAAATGGATTCGTAATAGAACATTACAAAACTTAATAAATTATTTAGGATAATTGCCGGAAAATTTTCTGGCTGCTAAACAACAACGAGTTTTACTTTGAACCGATTAAATTAACCTTCGATGCAACAACTTCAAAACGTTACAATTGTTGTTACAAAATAGCAAAAAAAGATAACTTGTTTTTCTAAAAAAAAAAAATGTAAATACTTCTCCGTCGTCAAACCACGTACAAGGCCGTATTTAATAAGCTTGGCTAAGAATTGTTGTAAGGGTTAACTGAGTTTTTTGTATTTATATGAGGTATGTAGCGGACTTTCATCAGAACTTCCCTCGCTTCTGAAATACTAGTCAAACATTCATAAATTACATCTACAGTGGTAGGTTATATTATAAATTTTAAATACCATTTCCCATGCAAAATTTTTGGTGTCAATGATCAGACTTTTTTTTTTCTTTTCAGAACGTAATATCTTCGTTATTAACAGACTTATTGTTATGGAATTTTAAATAAATGTCCACACTTTTTGCTATCTAATACAAGAGCAGCTTTATAAAAGCGGCTGATCGTCATCTTCTTTTTAGCATCAATTTGGTGAAATTTTTCATTACATTTTTTAAAAATCAATATCTCTATTATTAATGGAAATTTGTAACGTAGTTTTCACTATTGTTTTAATTCATTCGGAAAATATTGTCTATTTTTTTGTGGAAAATGAGATACGCTAAAAAGAAACTTTTCAATTAAAGAAATATAAAAATTAAAAAATTTGGAAAACCTAATATCTAAAAAATCGAAACATTGAAAAATCGAAAAATTAAGGAATTGAAATGTTTTTATCCTATTGTTGAAAAAAAAAAACTATATAGTATATGTTAAGAAAAAAAAACCCACCTCGATTTCAATTTTGACGAGTTCTTCATTTGTAATCAGAACGAGGGGCGGAGCTTAATTGCAAAATCCATATTTCTCTCCAAAAATGTTCCCTTTTAAAAACATGTTTCACATGGTAATTTCTTGTAGAGAAATGAGGATTTTGCAAGTAAGCTCCTTCCCTCGGTTCAAACAGTGAATAAAAAATTCATCACAACTGAGACTGGGTGGGTGGGCGGGGCTTATATTTTGTCTATCTTTTCTTAATATACGAAGTCTTCTTTTCCCAACATAAAACTGAAAAAATATTTAACTATCGCGTGTTGAAAGAAAACTCTATGTATTAAGAAAAAAAAAACAAAAACAAGTATTTAGCACGACCCACCGAAATTTTTCATTCGTGTCAGAACTATGGGCGCTCCGCCAATTGAAAACAGAAATTTACCATTTTGAACATACGTTAAGTTTCTTATTGTTAAAAGAAAACTACGTATATTGAGAAAACAGGGCAAAATATAGGCCCCGCCCACCCACCCTATCTCAATTGTGATGATTTTTTTTATTCATCGTGAGTCAGAGGGCGGAACTAATTTTAAAATCGTCATTCCTCTACATAAAATTGCTATGTGAAATATGTTTTTATGTATCCTGTTGTAGAAAAAAAAAAAAAAAAAAACTATATAATGAGAATAAAAAAATAATAATAAAAACTCACGGAAGATTAAACACCACAATAGCTGTCCCGATCTCATTTGTGATTTTGAATATGTTTCAAGCTTCCAGTTGTGAAAAGAAGACTAAGTATATTAAAAAAAAAACGGTAAAATATAATTACTGTATTAAGAAAATGTGAAATCGAAAAAATAAAATGTTTAAAAATTGATGAATCGAAAAATTGAAAAATCCCAAAATTGAAATGGCCAAAAAATTGAGAAATCGAAAAATTGACGAATGGAAACATCGAAAAATGGGAAAATTGAAAAGTCGAAAAATCGAAAAATGGAGGAATGGAAAAATTGAAACACTGAAAAATTAGTAGAGTGAAACATCGAGAAATCGAAATATGTAAAGATCGAGAAATCCAGAATTTGAAAAGTCGGGAAGTCGAAAAATAGTGAAATCAAAATTGCCCAAAATCGAAAAATTAAAAATTGAAAAATTAAAAAAATTTAAATTAAAGAAATCGATAAATCTATAATTTGAAAAAACGGGAAATTAAACAATCGGATAGTCGAAAAGTGGAAATCCAGATCAATCGAGAAATAAAAAAAATGAAAAATTGGAATATCGAACACCTCAAATATCGAAAATTTTAAAAACATGTCACATGGTAATTTCTTGTAGAGAAATGAGGATTTTGCAAGTAGCCCCCCCCCTCGGTTCAAGCAATGAATAAAAAATTCATCAAATTTGACAATGGGTGGGTGGGCGGGGCTTATATTTTGTCTATCTTTTCTTAATATACGAAGTCTTCTTTTCCCAACAAAAAACTGAAAAAATATTTAACTATCGCGTGTTGAAAGAAAACTCCACATATTAAGATAAAAAACCAAAACAAGTAGTTAGCACGACCCTCCGAAATTTTTCATTTGTGTCAGAACTATGGGCGCTCCGCCAATTGCAAACAGAAATTTACCATTTTGAACATAAGTTAAGTTTCTTATTGTTAAAAGAAGACCACGTATATTGAGAAAACAGGGCAAAATATAGGCCCCGCCCACCCACCCTGTCTCAATTGTGATGATTTTTTTTATTCGTCGTGAGCCAGAGGGCGGAACTAATTTTAAAATCGTCATTCCTCTACATAAAATTGCTATGTGAAATATGTTTTTATGTATCCTGTTGCAGAAAAAAACTATATGTATTAAGAATAAAAAAATAAATAAAAACAAGCAAAAGATTAAGCACGATCCACCCGTCCCGATCTCATTTGTGATGAATTTTTCAATCGTTGTTAGACCAAGGGGCGCAGCCTAATTGCAAAATCTGTATTTCACCACAAAAATTTACCATTTTGAATGTGTTTTAAGCTTCTAGTTGTGAAAAGAAGACTAAGTATGTTAAAAAAAAAACGGTAAAATATAAATACTCTATTAAGAAATTGAGAAATCGGAAAAATAAAATATCTAAAAATTGATGAATCGAAAAATTGAAAAATCCCAAAGTTGAAATGGCTAAAAAAATGAGAAATCGAAATGGGAACATCGAAAAATGGGAAAATCGAAAAGTCGAAAAATCGAAGAACGGAGGAATGGAAAAATTGAAACATTGTAAAATGACAAGATTGAAACATCGAGAAATCGAAATACGTAAAGATCGACAGATCCAGGAGTTGAAAAGTCGGGAAGTCGAAAAATGGAGGAATCAAAACTACTCAAAATCGAAAAATTAAAAAAATTTAAATTAAAGAAATCGAAAAATCTAAAATTTGAAAAATCGAGAAATTAAACAAGGCGATAATAGAAAAATCGAGAAATTGAAAAATTGGAAAATATAATATATATTTCAAATATTGAAAAATTTAAAACCGAAAAATTGAAAAATCGAAAATTCTAAAATTTTCAAAATCGAAAGATCCAGAATCACAATGAATAAAAATTTCAGCACAATTGAGATGGGGTGGGTGGGCGGGCGGGGCTTATATTTTGTCTGTTTTTTCTCAATATGCGAACTCTTCATTTCCCAACAAGAAAGTGAAAAAATGTTTTTCACTATCGTGTTGTTGAAAGAACCTCTAAATATTAAAAAAAAAACTAAGATTAAGCACGACCCACCCGTCCTGATTTCAGTTATGACGAATTTTTCATGTGCTGTCAGACTGAGAGGCCAATTTAAAATTCATATTTCCCCACAAAAATTTACCATTTTGAATATGCCTTAAGTTTCTTGTTTTCAAAAGAAGACTACGTATATTGAGAAAAAACGGCAAAATATAAGCCCCACCCACCCGCCCTAGTTCAATTGCGACGAATTTTTCATTCGTTGTTAGACCAAGGGACGAAGCGTAACTGCAAAGTCTCTATTTTCCTACAAAAAATGTACCATTTTGAATCTTTTAAGCTTATCTAAAAATTGATGAATCGAAAAATTGAAAATTCGGAAAATACTTAGATACATCAAAAATCGAAAAATTGGAAAACTTAAAATCGAAATATCAAAAATTTATTAAGTCGAAAAATCAGGAAATCGAAAACTCAAAATTGAAAAATCGAAGAAAAATTGAAGACTCGACAAATCAAAAAATCCCGAAACTGAAACATCAAAAATTTAAAAAATAATAAACCTGAAAGATGCCAAAATTCAAAAATCTAAAAATTGAAAAAGCAAAGATCTGAAAAATCGGAAAATTGAAAAATCGAAAAATTAAACAATTAAAAAACCGAAAAGCATTCGATTTTGCAATTTTAAAGTAAAATTGTAAAATGTTATACAATTTTAATTTTTTTTTTTCAAAAATCTGGATCCCTAGGGTAAAAACTCAACACGTATTCATAAACCACATGTGGGGTTGTAGGTCATTTTATAAAATATAAATAATATTTACTGTTGTAAAATTTGGAAAAGGGGTACCTATTTTTCGTCCTGTAGGGGTCATGAAACATCGAAAAAATATGTGTAAGGTAATCATTTTCTGTAGATTTTTGTCTCACTGGGGTATTTTCGAACAATACGGAATAATTGTTGAAACTATTTAAAAGGAAATGACATCAAACTAATCCTCCTACATTCCTTGGTTTTATTTTATAGAGAGAAAGTACATTCTGAATAACAGAACAAAATATTTGGGTTTGAACTGTTGTGTTTACAGTACGAAGATCCTAAATTTTGA